GTGGAATGAGATATAATACTAACGCTGCAGAACGAAGCAGCCATCATCGAATGCTAATGAGGGGTTGATGGCTGTCTCTCTCTCTCTCTCTCTCTCTCATTCCAGAATGGAGGAGAACGCTCGCGAACCTCTCTCGGCTTGGATCCAACGGATCGTCGGCCTGATTATAAATTATGCATTATCTTGGGTGGAAGAAGAATCTCGTGCATATACACTATACGTACAGCCGAAAATCCAGTCAGATTGTTGATACAACATCCACGAATTCCTCGTTTCTCTGCTCCTCCCCTCAAACCCAGCGGCACGACCCTCGAACACACACGCGCATACACGCATACACACACGCGCATATATATATATATATATATATATATATTTCCCCCCGAACTCACAGAAGGGAAGTGTGGCGCGATTTTTGCTCCAAGCATGCGGGCGTTGGATTAGAGAGAAACAGAATACAAAAAAAAAAAAAAAAAAAAAATCATGAAAAAAAGAGATGATAGAAGGCGAATGAAAGGGATACGAAGAGAGATTTACACCAGAAGAGGTGCGTGGAAAATGGAACGTGTGTCATTGTCCGTTTGACGGAATTCTTACGGGATTACGCATTCGACGTTTATGTGCATTACGTGAGATGATTTGAGAAGTAATTGTTATCGGGAGAAGGAAAAACCAGAGTTTTCAAAATGCTGATCGTAAATTATAATAAAATGCTATACCACGAAGTTTATGGATTCTTTCAATTTAAACGTATCGTACGACAATGACTTGGCTTATCGTTATTTAGAGATAGATAATATTTCTAATGTGGAATAATGCATTTTTCAGACATTGCGAATTTCTTCAACATAAACTACGTGAAATTGCTAATTAGTCGATACCGAAGTTGCCATAAATATCTAATTGTTTGCTAAATACATCCATTCGTTTCAATATTAAAGCTATCCTGTCGAATTAATATTTTTATGAATAATTCAATGGAGAGATAAAATAGTTGAATCAAATGCAGTGTAGTTATTACCTGTAAAACAGCATAGCTTGATAGTTACGTCATTGCCTCGTGTACGTTCATTTTTCTGCCGATATATTAATAAAATTCTCATGGTATGGGAGAATATGTGCGCTTTTTGATACAGCATTTTCTCCACGATATTAATTAATTTTCTATTAAGTAGTTTTAATGCCTATGATAAGCATTGGATATTATAGACAAGCTATTTTACACATGAAATATTCTGTTGGTCGTAAAATATCGATATATATCTAACACAATGATAAAAATGATTTATAATGTCATACAGTAATGATAATAATTTATCATTTTAACCTTTAATCGTCCGATAGCACCTTTAACCCTTAATAACATCTAGAAAAACTACTAATAAATAAACAGATTTAACAATATTAATATATGTATTTTTGTTTTTGTTTGTTTGTTTGTTTGTTTTTTTTTTATTATTTTTTTTTTTATTTAACCGCCTCGTGTTTCTTTCAAAGCAAATATTCTGCTCTTGATTATAATTTATTAAGCATGCTTATTATATGTGCGCAAAATTTAAAAAAAAAAAAAAACAAAAAAAAAAAACAAACAAAAGAGCCAAATTGTTCAGTTCAGTTACATTAAATTGAAGGAAAACAATATGAGATTATACATAAACTAAAGCAATAACAACATATCACAACAATGGTTTTCATTAGGTAAATATCTTAGACCGCGCATAAATGAACATCTCTTATACCAACTTGCTAAAGTTAATGATCTTTTATTGCGAATATTAATTACTCGAGCAGGAACATTTTTGTTTGATAAAGTCAATTAAGCGCAATTCCCAATCAAATACCAATTACCTAGCTAAAACGTTGAAGATGGCGCGTTCGAAGCATCCGTAGAGAGACCAACGTGGTGGATACATTGCAGGACAACGAAATATTATTCAACGCGGGAGGATTACGATAAACGCTCAAGTTTATCACTATTCAAATATTTCACTAGTGACTTTTCACGAACAATTTTGAAGCTCCCGAGAACGAAGCGATAATTAAATAATCCAAGTGCGATATAATCCCAAAGACGGATTATTTCTTAAGGTAAACAGAAATTTTTCAAAGCTGAATCGTTCTTTAGTTGAAAACTAGATGGGGACATTATATGTTTATCTAGCATTAAGCAAGTTTTTATCGTTATACCTGAGGTATCTGTGTAAGGTGGTCCGCGGACGTAGACAGAATGGCAGGTATGAAATCGTTACGCTAGAAGCGATTGCTTTTATTTGCGAAGAACGCTAGAAAACGACAATTTTTCGACTTTCATAAAAGCCAAAACGCTTCTTGCAAAATCGCCTCCGTTTGGTCTAACAATTTTCTAGACTGCAAGGAATCAAGTGCGGGACATAAAAGCATAAAGGTCGGTACATAATGATTTTATGAGCTCGCGATGGCCTCCCCTTCGCCACCTCATAGTCATTTCGACGCTCTCTCCCCGGGTCCCTTCCTGCCCCACCAAGATTCTCGTTTGTTTTCCCATTTCGGAAAGTGCCCCGGTTGGCTCGAGAAGCTATTCACGAACTGCCTGGCCAAATGTTAAATTCGAGCTCCCTCGTTCTCCGGTGTTTTTTTTCTTTTTTTCTTTCTTTTTTGTTTTACGACGTTACAACTTGACGTGAGTCAACGTCAAGCTGAAAAACTTTGTAAGATTCGATATACCGAATTAATGAGATTCCGTTGGAACAGTTAGTGTTTTGAAATAGAGGAAGAAAAAAAAAACGCAACTACTTCATTATTAGGCCAAAATATTGGAAGCAAACGAACTCTTAATGCCATTGGGTCTTTTGCCGCCTTTAATTCCTCTTGTTTACAAAAATAATCAGAGCTGGCGTTAGTGACTTTGAGCAAGTGCTAAATAGAACTTTAAAGCCCCGAGTTAATTTTCGTTATCGGCAATCTAAATAAAACAACAACTACGAGCTTATTTGCCTAAATTTTACGAAAATTAATATCACCATTTTTATTGCAACGAGGGAAGAAAGATGAAACAAAATGAAATGAAATAAATCGATAAAGATAAACAGAAATTTTCAGGCTCTCATAGGGCGCATGCGCGTTTAAATAATTTAGCATGTCCGTTAAAATACAAAATATTTCATTCGATAAATTACCACTAATTCATTACGTAGTACCGAACGACTATGTATTTAGGTTAAATTTCGCGAAAACCTAAAGAAAATTATCCGTTTTATCTCGTGATATATAAGAAAACGCCGTTAAAAAATTAATTTTAAAATATTCAAAATTAACGCTCACAGTTATTTATAATGTTTCATAGCTCGTGAAATGCGCTCAATAAAATAATTTTAATATATCCTAGGCCACATTGTTTTGATAAATAAAAAAACTTAACTGACTTAACGATCACTATTAACTTGATTAATAGAACTAATTGCGTTTCAGATGCCTTAACCTTTGGCATGCTAAGTATACTTTAACGCACTTGTAATCTACATGATATTAATTAGTCAATATATATTTTAAATGTCTAATTATAAGCAGTGATATTTATTTATAAGCTTTGTATGCTAATTGCCGTAATATTTTCCTACCTGCTAAATTAATAAAAAGTTCAGATTTTTTTTTCTTTCTTATTTTCTTGGTTTTTTTCTTTTTTTCTTTTTTCTTTTCTTTCTTTTTTTTTTCAGTACTACCACACTTCACGGGCAATTTCAAAAACTTGTGTCTAAAAAGCCAAATAAATGAGCTTGAAAATTGAAAAACGACGGTGTTTTTTGCAACTAAATACCTAAATACGGGAATGAAGTAATGCGTAAATTATGATTAGTTTAGAAAATCGGTTGAGTGAAAGAATCATTGTCGAATGCGTGATTAACATTTGCGTCGGTCAATGGCTTATTAGGTATCGTATTTAGCCTATTGCAATAAATTATCAAACGCTCGTAATGCGAGAATGACAATTGAAATGGTATTTTCGTTTGCTCGAACGTGGCTAGTTAAAGGATAGGCGCCGCGTAGGATAAATTCAAGCTGATTATTTTATCGTGGCAGCGACAGCCGTAATTGGCGGTAGGCGATCGTCCTTCTTGCATGTCGAAGAGACATATAAAGCTAAAGGGGAAGACGCGTCGTGCAGAAGAAAATAAGACAACGTCGGTGAGTACTCGGCCATCGTTGTTGTCATCCAATGGACTATTATTATATACATCGACGTTGTAGTAGTACACAATGAATTCCGTCCTTGTAATGTGAAAGAAGGAGCGAGTTCATGAGGAAAAATGTCAATGCCAAATAATCTAGACGATGCTTCAATGTCAATGGCGCCAGCTTTGTGTTTCAGCGATACGCAAAGGCGTTAGAAGAGCAACAATCATAGTACTCGCTGTTTTTGTAATATAATCACTATATATCAATGAACAAGAAGTGCATCGGTCAGTGGGTTCCCGTCGAGATTTTCCTGCATTCTTGTTGATATTCTAATAAACTCGTCCTTTTCCACCATAATTGCGTTATTTTTTCTATTCCGTTATATTTTTGTCTTTTATTTATTTATTTATTTATTTTTTTGTCTTTTTCTAGAGAGAGAGAGAGAGAGAGAGAGAGAGAGAGAGAGAAGTGAATAGCGGTAGTGTTATGTTAATGCCTGGTACACGTATCTCGTACGACAATGCTTAATGCAAATAATACGAGCATTATTAATATTATACTGCAATGAAATTGCCACCTAGAATTATGATGATTTTTAAAATGATATTAATTGTATTATTTTTATATAATGTTAGAGTATTATTTATAGAATGTTTGAACGATGAACAATAATAGCAACTTAAATTACTTTTAATTAATGCGCAACTTTCATTCGACCCCTTCCTTCCAATTTAAGCTGCAAAAAAATTGGATAATACGACGTATGACTAAATTATTCTAAGAATGTTGATTTTTAGTATGTATTTGCGAGATGTTTATCATTCTAATAAAAATTTAGAAATACTCACCACACACAACTCTGTCGAATGGGCTCATCCAATCTGTAATTTAAAGAGAAAATATTTGTTATAATTAGAAAATTGGAGTCTCAATGTTTCATAAGTCATTGTATGGGCTCATTCGAATGAATGATTTTGCATTGAGTAATTGCGAATAAATTCAAGCCAATTTCATTTAAAATCAATTATGCATGCCTTGTAAGTAAGCAGGCATGCTGTGGTGTTCTACAAAAATGAACAACAAACGTACTGGACATGCTAAAAATTAATTAATAATTGAATTATAAAAACGTTCGTTTAGGTACTCTCCTGCTCAATTCATTGGTTATTCATATTAAATGTGATTGCCATTAGCGATCGAATAAGCGGCTTGCAAGTATGCTATTTTGAAATGATATTTTGAATTTATTAACAGCACACGGTAATTAGAGGTATTTACCCGATGATGAACCTTATCCGAACCTCAACAAATTGGTCGGAAATTTTAATTTTTACCAATAAATTGGAGACGCCACATATCGCACTACTACTATGAGGGATGGGAATATGCATTGGTGTGGTATCAATTTATCAACATAATGGGACACCCTACATACATTTTTCTACCGATAGAACCGTACAATTACACTACATTATTATACCGCCTATCAATAATAATATTTCTAATCGGTCATTATGCATCCAACACAGCGGCATTAATACGAATGTATTGCAATAAATTATAATCTAGTGGCTAAAATAACTTTGTATATAACGATAATCAACCTGTTATTATACCAATTAAATATCATAAGATTATGGTGTTTATTGTAAACGATCGTCCATGTGCTATTTCCATAAACGCAGCATTAGAAATTAACATATATGCATTAATTTTCGTACAGTTATGAGAAATCGATTTTCCCGGGCTGCGATTAAGATAATTAAATGAAAAGCAAAGAAAGAAAAAAAATTTGGGAACTTGAATATCCTTGTGATCTCACGCTGCGATAGTTTACGCAAGCGATAGTTAGAAAATTATAATATGGCCAGTAACTATAATTAATTCTCTATTAAAATCCAGCCATACCTCGAGCAACTTGAATTTTCCCCCGCGGCTTTTTTTTTTATCTCTATCCGATAAATTAATTGACATTTTATCCGAGAAATAAATCGTAAATCATTAGGAAATTGTACGACAAAGCCAGACAAACGAGTATATTATTATTTATATAATTCATGCAACCCTGCTTTCTTCAGGTTTGAGGCTCGAAATTGTCGCTCTAGGTTGAGCGTCAACGACAGCGTCATCGCCATCGTCGGCCGTCGGCAAAAAACGTGGCCTCTCCGCCACCACGACGACCATTCTCACATTCAACGTATCGTAATGGACATTTACCTCGCGTGCAATTACAATATGCACTTCAAGTCGAGCATGCGCATTGCCGATAATCCGGCGACCAACAAAATTTTTACCTCGCTAACGAGATTTTACAACCGCGCATTGAAAATATCAAATAATAGGCATTAGAAATGGAAGACTTAAGACTACCTAAGGTAGGCTAATCGTAAATTTTCCCAACCAAAATAAACATTCTCCATAAAATTGCTCCGATTGAGAATAAAATTAATACCGGTTCTATTCGAATCGAACAGAAGCTCGTTCGCGTCAACGACCAGCAAGGAAAACATTAGCGCGACGAACAATCGAGCGCGACGGACGAGAGCAGCGGTCGTGGTGGCGGTAACGGTGACGTTGGCGTTGGCGTTGGCGTTGGCGTTGGCGTTGGCGGTGACGGTGACGGTGACGGTGACGGTGACGGTGACGGTGACGGTGACGGTGACGGTGACGGTGACGGTGACGGTGACGGTGACGGTGACGGTGACGGTGACGGTGACGGTGATCGGGGCGGACGCGGGGGCGGGGAGGAAATTTCACCGGGGATTAGCCGAGAACGAGGATGATCGTGTCATCGTTCGCCAAATGCTATATTGACATTGGTATTGGTATTAGTAATGCCAATGGTAATGTTAACGTTTACGGTAATGATAATGTCAATGGTAAGGGTAGTAGCGGGAAGCAGGTGGATGGCGACGATGGTTGTAATGATAGCGAGATTGCCGACGGCGACGATCCCCTAGGCGATAACGGTAGATGGTAGGAGGATGGGAGAAGGATGGGAGAAGTATGGGAGAAGGATGGGAGATGGATGGGAGGAGGATGGGAGGAGGATGGGAGGAGGATGGGAGGAGGATGGGAGGAGGATGAGAGGTGACTGGGACGTCGACTCACCGGTAATGGACATCCAGGGGTAGCGCGGGATCTCCGGTATGCCTGGCTGTCCGGAAGTAGGCTGCTGGCAGGAGCCGAGGGGGTCGACGACGCTCGCTGCGGCCGCCTGGTGATAGAACTGGGCCGCCGCGGCCATCGAGGTCATCGAGGCCGCGGACACGGAGGAGGCCGAGGCCGAGGAGACGAGGCTCCCGGGCGTCGCGCCGTTCTGGTGATGGTGTCCGAGGGTGTAGTTGACCATGGGGTCGGCGCTGTTTGGCGCGACGTTGCCGGCGAGGCTCGCGGTGTACCTGCAGGACTTGTCACCGGCCGTGGCCGCGTCGACAGCTGCGGCGGCCGCGAGGGCCGCGCTCGAGGCTGCCGAGCTACCGAAGCCCGGGACCATGCTCGAGGTGGCGCCGAAGGCCGCGGCTGCGACCGCCTGCTGCTGCTGGTGGTGGTGGTGGGCCGCCGCGGCGGAGACGTAAGGGTACATGCTGGAGGTCGGGCGGGCCGCGGGCGAGGTCGACGCGGAGCTGCCCGAGTGCTGGGGGCTCGAGCCCGTCGGGCTCGGCGAGCTGTGTTGAGCGTAGCTGGCCGCGGCTGCGGCTACCGCGCTGAGGCTGGACTCGAGCTGACTGGCTGCGGCCGCTGCTACGGAGGCCGGATTACCGCTCGCTGCTGCTGCTGCTGCTGCTGCTGCTGCGGCTGAACAGGCCGCCTGGACCGAGGTCGGGTTCGCTGTCGAGAACAACTGCTGATACGGCGACTGATGCTGGTGATACTTCGGTAGCATGCTATCGATCACGAATTTCGAACTCATAGCGCGCCGGAAGGGCTCACGGGCTCACCTTCCGCTGCGGCCCCTCCTCGCTCCTCTACGGCGGACCTCCCGGAACTGCTGAAGCGCGCACCTCCTTCCGACGGACTCGTTCGCGGCCTTCCAACGACCTGCTTCCCGTCGAGCTTTAACGACGCGGGCGCCTGCCGCACGCGGCACCGCCGGGACGCGCACTGCTACCGCTGCTGCTGCTGCTGCTGCTACCGCTGCTACCGCTGCTACCGCTGCTACCGATGATGATGACGCTGCTGTTGCTGCTGTGGCTTCTGGTACGACAGCTGCGGAGCGGCGACGGGGCAATATTATTACTGGTACTGCTGGTGGCGATGGTGGAGGTCGTGGCGGTTGTGGCGGCGATGGTGGTTGTGTTGCTCCTGCTGCTGCTGTTGTTGTTGGCTGTGGTGGTGGCGGTGGTGCTGCTGATGATGCTGCATCTGATGCTGCTTCTGGCGCACATCCTCGTGCTGAGGAGAGGAGAGCCGCGAACAGCGATGCCTACGATCCATGCCGTGCGTGCGTGCGTGCGTGCGTTAATGCGTGTGTACGTGCTCGTTTGCTTGTTCGCTCGCTTGCAGCATACGTGGGCGGGTGGGTGGTCAGCTGGGTGGGTGGTAGTTGGGTGGTTGGATCCGTGCGTGCGTGCGTGCCTGGGCGCGCGCGCGCGCCCGCGCGCTACTACCCGCTTCTTCCTGGCGCCCTTTTCTTGTTGTTGTCCCGATGCACTCGAGACGGGAGGAAATCGACGGCTTATGGACGACGCGCTTCACTGGTGCCGCCGTCAGGCAACTCGCGCACTGTTACGCATAATCGTGGCACTCTCGAGGGGGTTTGGCCTCGGTGAGGCCGAGGCTCGATCCGTCGGTCGCGCACTCACCGGAGGCCGAGCGACGGTGGGATAATGGAGCAGTCGGGAGGAGAGCGGTACGAGCTCCTCGGCGGACCCTCGCGCTCTCAGCTGATCCGTGCGTGTGACTGCGCTGCTGTGGGCTTTGCGTATTGAAAAAATTAAATGAGAGTAGAGAGACAGTGAATAACAGCGCCGAGTAGGAGAGAGTGACTGACGAAAGACTGGGAGCAACGGAGAGACTGACTTAAAGCGAGAGAGAGAGAGAGCGTACGTATGAGCGCTCTACGGATACGCGCGAGAGAGAGAGAGAGAGAGAGAGAGAGAGAGACAGACAAACAGACAGACAGATAGATAAAGAGAGAAAGAGAGAGAGAGAGGAAGGAGCCGTAGGTGAGAGATAGAGGCAGAGGGTCAGCGCGCGAGTGTATCTGCTGCCCCGCAGTTATCGCGAAGACGGTGTTGAAGACGGCCGAGCTCGCGGCCCGTTCTCGAGGATTGTCCTCGCCCTCGTCGTCGGCGTACTCCTCCTCGACGATGGTGACGTCGTGGTTACGCGGGAGCGCGCGTGGTACGATGGATCTCGCGCGCGGGCCTCTCTTCGTCAGGTGTTAGAAGCCGTTTTCTTGCGTACTTCTCGGATAGTCGACGAATCCTTTATGGGCCATGCATGAAGGTACTATAGCCCCCTATCCCAAACGCCGCGTACTAGCCAGGCAAGCGGCGCTCTCACACACACACACTCGCGCGCGCACGAGCCACGCACACCATGGCCAAATGTAACCCCTTACAATAATGGCGCCGCTTGTCTCTCCGGACGCGTGTGCGTGTATGCGCTTTCGCCGCCGCCACGATCTCTTCCACGATGCTTGCCTCTCGCTCTCACAACCGAGCTCACCCGCGGCGAACCTCGTCCCCCCTCTCCCGGGGAATGCTACCCCGGCACGCGGTACCAGCTGGTAAACAGAACCGACCAATCGGGGCCCGGCCTTATCCAACACGAGCCAATCCCCGTCCGTCTAGGTGCGCCAAAATGAATGGGAGCCCGCGACTGTGTTGGTGCGCGCCGACTCACGCTACCTACCTACCTACCTACCCACTTCTCTCTCTCTCCCTCCCTCTCTCTCTCTCTCTCTCTCTCTCTCTCTCTCTCTCTCTAACTATATCTCTATCTCTATCTTACTATATCTCTATCTCTATCTTACTATATATATACATGCATCCTCGCACACATGCATACACATGCATGCCAATATATATATATATATATATCGCTCTCCCGCTTACTCTCTCTGTCTTCCTGGCTTCGGCTCCGGACTGCCGATGTCTTTCGTTCTGTCGCACTTGCTCCTTCGCTGTCTTACTCACACTTACTTCTTGACTCTGAAGCACTCTGCTCAACGCTCCGTCTCTTTTTCGCGTGCCCGCCGAATTCGAGCGAGCGGAAG